TAATTCTTCACGAGTAAAAAAACTTTGTTCTGCTTCCATTGTTAACATTGAATATAATTCCATTGTTTGGATTCTGTTTTTATATTGATTAAATAGAAAATAGTTTTTATAAATACATGAAACAAGTCTTTCCAAACAAGGTATTTGTTTAAACCAAATTTCAATATCTTTTTTGAGTTTTTGTGGAAAAAGAAATCTTTTTAATTTTAAACTTGAATAAATATTTGGTTTATCTAAATCATCAAGAGATTTATAAAATCCTTTTACATTAATTATTAAAAGACTTGTTTTGTTTTTTTCAACTTCTGGTAAAAACCTCACTATTCCACCAATATTACTAGTTAAACAAGTTTCATTTACTTTATTCACTTTACTTTCATCTACCTTAATCTCATAATTGTTATTGTCACTTTTGTTATCTTCTTTATGAATATCACTTATATCTATATAAAATATTACAGTACTAGAAAGTTGTGAATGCAAGGGATAATAAAGTTCTTTCATATCTTGATATTTTAATTTGAGTTTTTCATGTTCCTTAAGTTTATCAAGTAAGTGTTTAATTGGTCTATCACGATCAATCATATCATTTGGTACTACTCTTGAAATTGCTACTAAAATTGTTGGTTTACTATTAAAAGAAATCGTATTTGATATAGAAAATGACCAAATTAAAAGTTTTCTATTGTCCTCTTTTATTTGTTCTTCCTGTTTGCTATTATCCTCTTTTGTTTGTTCTTCTTGTTTTCTATAGCTCCATTTTGATTTTTCTTTTTGTTTTTTATTATCCTTTTCTATTTTTTCTTCTTGTTCTCCATTACCCTCTTTTGTTTGATCTTCTCGTTTTCTATAACCCCTTTTTGATTTTTCTTTTTGTTTTTTATTATCCTCTTTTTGTGAACCTTTTACATCTGAAGGTTTTACATATGGATCAAGTTCATCTAAAAACGTTAATTTTTTAACAATATCACAAATCTTTACTTTGTCTTGTCCTATATCACTGTCACTATCATTATTTAACAATTCAAAATTTTCGTGATGTGTAATTTTTAATCTTAAATTTTCACCCTTACTACAATCAAGTCTAGCTATATATTCTCCATCATTGCTAATTGTAATATAATATTGATCTTTTTTTTTACCACTACCACTACTGTCATTATAAGTAGTAATAATATTTTGTTTTTCAACTTCTATTATATTATCAAGATTATCAGTCATTATTATCAAAAAATTATTGATATTAAAAAATTTATGAAAAATGATCGTTTTTATATCAATTAAATATATTGTTACGCAGGCCTCCATTATAATCGAATTCAATGAAAACGCTTTTTTTTTGGATTGATTGTATAATCATTATAATCATTACAAATATATTATTATGCAGGTCTCCATTATAATCGAATTCAATGAAAACGGGATAAGATTAGGAAATTGTTACTCGCACCTAAGACAAAGATGAATCAATAAAATCATCACATTTTAAGCGATTTACTTGATCAAGCCATTTGCTAAACGATTTATTTGGCTAAGCCATTCATTAGTCACATTACTACACTTAGTCACGTGGGGTACGAATAATTATCTGTGGCGTGACACCTTCATTAAGGGTAGGGGGAATCCCGTGGTATATTTAATGGCTCAAAAAAAAAATAATGTCGATCATTATAAATAACGTAATTCAATATTAAATATTACAAAGGCTCCTAGTACTATTTTTATTATTATTAAATAAAGGCTCCAGACTTTAACTTTCCATTCTTTTGAGTTTATATCCAAATTTCCATAATGCTTGCAAGTGAATGAAAACGCTTTTTTTTTTTGGATTAAGATTATATAATCATTTCAAATATATTGTTACGCAGGCCTCCATTATAATCGAATTCAATGAAAACGCTTTTTTTTTTTTGGATTAAGATTATATAATCATTTCAAATATATTGTTACGCAGGTCTCCATTATAATCGAATTCAATGAAAACGCTTTTTTTTTTTGGATTAAGATTATATAATCATTTCAAATATATTGTTACGCAGGCCTCCATTATAATCGAATTCAATGAAAACGCTTTTTTTTTTGGATCGCTTGTATAATAATCATTACAAATTTAGAAACTATCTGTAACGTGACACTCTGCATTAAGGATACCGACAGACCACTTTGTTTCCTTTTTCGGATTGTGACATGGAGCACCTCAACGCTGAATGCATGCATCTCAGCCTTGAAGTTAAAATATAGTTTTACTTTGGTAACAACTTTTAACAATAGTATCGCTTTGTTTGTTACATCAAATCTTGAAAATTGAAAAGTAACGATTTGCAACATTTAAAGAAAAACATCATCATCAAACTCTAGCTAGTGATTTGATTCATTGTGATTCAACAATAAAAGCATTTTATCATTGTTTATTTGTTTTCTTTGTACCTAAACCTGTCTTATGTACTATGTAAAAATATCAATATTGACCAGCCTGTGTGTTTCAAATTCAGACAATAATGTCAGCTCAAGCACATATTACGCCAAAGTCAAAAACACAACTCGTGTGTTTGCAAAAGTTACTCTACATATAATTATTGAAGATAATTCGAACGCGGTTTGATTTTTTTTATATATATATAAAATATAATAGTTTTAATTTGTTTCATTTTTAATTAGTTTATAATAGAAAAAAAAAAAATACAAATTTAACATTTTTTTGACGGCGCTGATATATACCAACTAAATCAACTTTTTGTTACAAATTCACAATTTTATGTTTCTTTGTTGTTTTAATTATAGCTTTTGAATTGTAGCATAATAATAATAATAATCATCATAACGGATAAAGGTTTACGGTTTATGTCAGTACAATTTACAAGCTTGGTTCTTTGAAATATAACTTTTCTCATTATACAACACATTAACATAGTTACGATGATTGAGAAACAAACTAACAGTGCGCATAAACAACAAATAAAGTGCATGTTTCTCCAAAAATCTTTGATTTCTGCTCCCTCTGTTATTTATTATGGACAAAGGGTGCTTCAACAATGGTTGATGAAACATTAAAAAGAATACACCAAGAGTATATTTGATCTGTAATGCATCATCTAATATGACTTCAAAGCTCCAGTAAAAGTGGTTCATTTGCAGCAAATCTTCAGATTACCATCTCCGATATCTCATTTTCGAAAATCGCAATGTATTATGCCCATAACATTTACCTGTTTCAATTTATCTACGATAAGGAGGATATCCATTCTCCAAATGGTTCGCATAATGGAGCCAAGACAATAAAATCATATCGTGTTACAGAATCAGCTAAATTGGAGATTAGTATTTTAAGAAGGCAAGCTAAATCCAATTTCTCCATTATCTCCATCTCCTTGTCGAAAACATTCAAGGAATGTACATATTTTAATACTCTTTATCATTGTCGTAAAGGCCTTTGTACATCACAGTTATTCTCCCTACACCAATTGATTTTACGAATTTGATTTCTTCTTGTTCTTGGTAAATATGTGAAGTCACCCAATCAAGTGTGAATGCTTTGATGGAAAAGAACTATTTGGTTTACGCAACCAACTTGTTATATGGGAAGCTAAAAAATATATAGATATACCTTACTGCATACCTTCTCGCTGAAATTATATTGAGATAATAACACATACATTTAAGACATTCTTAAAAAAAATATTCATTGCCAGTATATAAACTGTATCGATTTTCGTTACTTCACACCTTGCTTCTATTTATTCAACAGAATATGAACCTACTGATACCACATTAAGGGCATAATGCGATATGTTGGATGTAACACTATAACACTTTATGAAAGAAGTCAAAAGTAAATATTTTTGATTATAAATTATCTTTAGCAATTACCCGTGATAATAATAAATTGTTTATTTATTTTTGTTCCTAGAGACTTGGATGAACTATTAGCAACATCAATAACAACAACATTAATGGCAAATACTTGCAATTTATTAAAATGTGATATTGGTTCTCCAATAAAATAATTTTAATTTGTTCTTTTATAATCATGTGTATATAAGTCATCTGTAAATTTGATAATAAAGATAATAAATTCCATTATCCATTAAAGCGTTTGTTTCAATTTATTTGTTAAAAATATTATTTTGTTATAATTCAATTCAGATTTCAATATATATATATATATATATATTAATTCAAAATTTATTTATTGTCTCTATTCTTTAACAAATAGTTGCATGAACAGTTAGAGTTTTCTATTCGTGATACAACTCAATCTTAATATTAATTCGAATTATCCGTTCTATTTGAATTACTCGTTTTATTCGTTTTATCAAATTATTCGTTTTATTTATGTATTCGCTTTATTCAGGTTATTATTCATTTATTCAAATAATTCGAATAAACTTTCAATATAATCAAATTTGAAAATTTACCGAACCGACGACGATCAGATCCTTTGATCTAGACCGGACCTAAATATCTTATTTTGTTATAGGATGTTTGTGACTGTATTTGTTAAAGTTAGCATTAACAAGATTAAAATTTCGGACGCAAAGTGAGCACATGTCACAATTAATTAATCGCATAATTTTTTTCAATGTAATAGTAATCAAATAAAATTTATTTCACAAAATAAAAATATAATTTACACAATTTCTACAATAATTGATAATTTTTACATTTCAACAATCAAACAAATAAATTGTTCATTCAAACAATGAGTTTAAAATATTTAAAATTTAAAATGCTTTAAAAAATAATATAAATTAATTTTTTTGTAGTTTAAATAGTGTCATCATCACCATCATTATCTACATTTATACCTTGAACTTCAACTTCATCCTCTTGGTTCTCAACCACAAGATCTTCGTTGTCTTGATAATAGCACATTGGTGCTTTACCCTTATTATTATTAACTTGGTTAATTGCATTTGCCAATATCCCTGGTCTTGACATATTCAAGGAAGCATCAAAGCACGTTTTCACGATTGTCACTTCTTCCTTGTTGTTTGGCTTTCATGATCTCTTACTTGATGATAATGATGAATTTGATGATGTTGCTAATGTGTTTATTGATGATGACTTGTGAGATTTTTTACCAATGACCTGCTCCTCAAATTTCAACAAATCATCATTCTTTTGACTCTAGTTGTTATTGATGATTTGCTTTGTGCTGGACTGGGGTAAGACCATTCAATTTCACTAGAGATGATTTGCATAATGTTCCTTCCCACAAACAGCTCACCCGCTACTGAAAAAACCACTGATGATTTTGTTACATCTGCTACTGCTGAATGCCTGCCATTTGTGACAGTATATGTACATGGAATCATTACTTTGTTAGATGTGCTGGTGAACGAATTGTAAGTGTTCCTTTCCATCATGAAGAGGTTTTTATCTAGTTCACCCTTTGGCTTGGCCTTTTCTTTTTACAAGGAGAAGAAAAAGCACTGAAAAGAGGTGCTATTGGTAGATCATGCATGTTGGGCTCCTCGTTCTAAGTTTTTAGGTCCAAGTTTATTGCTTGAATGACAGTTATCTACACAAAAAAAAATATCATTTATTACATTTTTTAAATCTCTCATCATTTATCCAAATAATAATAAATAATTATAAAAAAAAAATTTTACAAAATAATTTGGATTAAGAAATCTTCCAACCATTATTATAATGGAATGTTTTGCCAATCCCCATTGAAGAATGCTTTTCCAAATAACTATCTCATCAATAGAAAAATCATCTCTTTTGAGAATTCCAATAAAGTTGCATTTTCCAATAATTTAAATTCACTTGATTCAAATAATTTTTCACTATACTCACAAAAGTTTTCCAAATAGATATTTTTCAATTCCTTCTTCTTGGATCATTTCTTCAAAGTTCCGTTGAAATGCCTTAAAATTCAACTTTACAAATTATTCATCATCTACTCTGCTATATGCAACACCTGTATAAACATCTGCACCGCTCATAGTTTTAATATATACAGTTGATGTTAAAATAGATGCCTTCGTTTTTAAAAATAGATTTATTGTTGTAGCAGTGTTTTTTTTTTAAAAAAAAGCGTTTGTTTGAAAGTAAATATCAAAATTAAATTTTTTATCATTTAAATTTAAAAAAAAAAAAATCAGTTATTTTTACTGCACTACTAGCATGTAACCATTTGCTTTGTGATCTTATTTAATTAATAATAATAATAATAATAAAATAAGGGGAAATTTATTATATATTATATATATAGT